TATTAGGGACTATTAAAAAACTGTTAAAAGTCCCAAGAAAGACTGAAATGATTTAGGCTAATAAAGTAATTGTTGTTATTCATTTAAACATGCCATGTCTTGATTACACGGAAAATTGGTTGTAAATACTGAGTTTAAGAAATTGTTATGTTGTGAAAAAATATGATGATAATTTCGCTCAAAAAATAATATTCATAAGAAGAAAGTGACGAAATAGAACGTGATGAAAATACTCAGTTACGAAATGATCAATCCCACACAAACATATCTCCCCCTCAACACACACGCGTATTTCTTCTTCTTCATAATCCTTAAATTCGCCATTTCAGAATAATTTATTAAGCAATATAAAAGTGTATGCCGAAACGTGTGATTGGCGTACAATGTCCCAACTAATGGAATTTCAACTAATTAAATTTTAAATAAAAAATAGTTGTAACTGAAATTTATTGAACTTTGAAAAAACAAAATGACAATTCCTCACTAAAAAACTTCATGATTAAGATATCTTAGGCCACAACTTTTCATAAATGTTGGTTTGCAATGCTCTTCAATTTCGTATTTACTCTAGCCTTCTAACTGTTATGATTTGAGAGCCACTGGTGAAGACGAAAAGCGCGTCTGGCACAAATAAAGGCAACAGTAGTAAACCGCTGTTCAATAGTCATAATTCGATTAAGCAAAAACAAATCCGGGTAACAAACTAAACCCGAGGGAAACACATCAATGATAAGAGGAAAACAACGGAACAAAAGAAACACTGAACTACAACAAAAGCAAACGCCAACTTAAATAGAAACGGACTGTCTGGTAACAACTGGCATATTCCTGACTTGGTACAGGACATTTTAAGAAAAAATGGTGTGTTGCTTCTTTGTTACATTTGTTTGTATTTATAGCGATTAAGATGATAACACAATGTTGACTGCTGTACCCCTATTTTTGACATTTTTACCTATTGTGTCTGTTTGTTTTGTTCACGCATCGTTGTCAATATAATGGAATTTAATGCGACTGTCATACAAGTGAGAGGTTTAGCTAGCTATAAAACCAGGTTCTATCCACCATTTTCTGCATAAGAAAATGCCTGTACCAAGTCAGGAATATGACAGTTGTTATCCATTCGTTTGATGTGTTGGAGCTTTTGATTTTACCATTTGATTAGGAACACTCCTTTTTGAATTTTCCTCGGAGTTCAGTAATTTTGTGATTTTACTTTTTGATAAGCCTGGTGTCTTTGATGAGTTTATACATTTGAAATCACTATGAGAAAACTTATACAATATATCCGTATCGTTTGATTTTTTTTGTCGTTTGGCAAATGTTCAGTGATAAGTATCTATGATGAGAACAAATGAACTATCAATTCAGTTAGGAATGTTATGCAAAGTTGGTCGAACAAAATGGACAGCCATGATTGAAACAGGGAATGTTGGGTATAGGAACAGAAATTTTTATTGCAACAGGTCAAATCACAACATACTTCTCGAAGAGTTTAACTTGCAAACAGCAGGGCATAATTTTATATGATATTGCACCAAGAAACTGTAGAGACTATTATGAATTTGCTCAAGTATTTTTGACGATTTAGAACCGTGTGAAATACCGTCATTATGTATGCGCTTAAACACAATAATGTCTAATATTATTTCATAGAACATATCATAATTATCCACTTGAAAATATGTAATAAAGACTGCTGAGTTGGAAAATGTCTTATGTTGGTAAACATATGATGATTTATTTCAAAGACATGTTACTGATTGTTATGGCTAGTTTATATTATGTCCAATAACTGGTTTTTCTCGTCTATTTTAAAGTTAGGAGAGAACGATCACGAACTCTTTTTTCTGTGCGTAGTAAAAATGAATTGTCAATCTCATGTTATACTACGTAATAGTTTGTTTCGTTTTTTGTGTGCAGAAAATTTATCTATAAAAATAGTCATTTAGTCCATTCCTGAAATGATCATGTAATAAATTTTTAATATGTACGACTTGTTTCCCTTAGGAGAGACATGAAGAGCAATCGGGAATGTCATATTTGTTTGTTTTTATTAAGCTTAATACCGTTGATAAAATTTATTTTACAATAAAATTGGTTTAAACGCATGTACATCACTCTCAACTTATCATGCATTGAATGGGGAGAAGTTCAGTGTGTCCGGTTTTGAACCAGTCTAAAGTTGACAAAAGAGAAAGAAATTGTGTTAAAAGCTTGTAATAACAGACCAAGTCGGTAATTGGCAAATAAACTATCGAAGAATGAAATACTTCTTGGATGAAATTTCACATTGTATTCGTCCAATGCCACATGATTTTTCACTGACTAAACTCATATGTGTCCTTCTTTTCATCAATTCTAGCTCTATTCTTACGAGGTGAACTGTAAATCTAAATATAATGTAGAAACCAGACGCATCACATTTAAGAGCATATTTTAGTACATTATTAAAAAAAGTTAATAGCTTAAACACCATGACGGCAGGAAAAGTCATGCTCTGATTGCCAGTTGACTAACAAAACATCTATGTTTTATATTTCAGCTGCAAAATGTATTTTAATCAAATAACTTAAGTCCAAAGCAAAGCAAACGGGAACTTTTAAGATTTAACGTAAAATGGCGGAGGTCATTAACCATAATTCTAATGAAGATCATACATTTTTTTTCTAGAATTTTGGTGATTTTTGTCGAATTCTCTAGTTAGCACTGGTGGAAGGCATAATGGATAATCAACGGAATCACTTAAAATAATTCATAGAGAGTATCTTTACTATGAAATGCACCAAACGTGTTGTAGTAATAATTTGTTATCTAATTTTCTATATATTATAAGTAACCTTTATAGTTTTTTTCAGGATTTCTGTTGAATTTTTATAGTTTATTCTCCTATGTTCTACTTCTAGTAACATAAACCATAAAGGTTGATTGGCAGAAACATTGGAAGTTATTTTCAAAGCAGACACCCAAATAATGCTTGCGAAAATGTCTAGTTTCAATGATCTCTTCTTGTTTCTTAAATAAAAAAAGTCCCCTGGAAGACAGACATTAATTGATTAATTAAGCTCAAACTAGACATTTGTGCCAGATGGGCTAAATAGGGCGATATCAAGACTAGCTAGAGCCATTATTTTCGAGGTAAATGGAACTCAAATTTCATGAATTATCAACTGACAATTGTCTCTCCGCAAGACATAATTTGTTATCGGACAAATAAAGCTGTGGCGATGAAAATAATGCAAAGAAATAAAGTGAGATGTTTTTTTATATTTTGATAATAGAAACCTTGGTTTAAATAAAATGATAACAAATTATATACATCAACACCGATTTTAATTATAATCCAGATTTGTGTCAAATTTACAAATATTTGCTACCATATGGAATGAACTCGTAATTTAGAAGTACTGCACATAGAACAGTTTTTTCATTATCGAATTTGAAAAATCAGACTGTAATGCAAAATATAGTTTTCATTTAATGTCAATCCTGTAGATCAATGTACATGGTAATATCACGGTTCCTCGTATGGTTGTGGCCTGTGTTCCCTCACACTAAATGGAGTATATCTATGTTATGAAGAAGTGATATGAAAAATTTATTAACGTGGTTGATCTATTGTACAATGTTAAAAAATTGCAACATTTTCATTGGCTATTCGTTAGGGCGATGATGACTTTCAAAGGTCACAACGGATTAAATTACTCCCTTGGCAACGGTGATTCATGATTTTTTTTCAATAATATAAAAAGCACTCGCATGTTTCACCTGCAAATTCATTTTGTCAAATTTTATTTCATTCTGAAGCTTACAAAAAGCTTGAAAACGTCTGAGATCAACAGTAGTCTGGGTATATCCATAGGATACAAATTTCATTATGCGTTCTGGCTCTTTTTCATTATGTGTTCTGGCTCTTTCAAATGCTCTTTTGAAAAAATGATAATAGATGATAAGTTCACAACGGTGCGATACAGGTTTAAGTTTGATATTCAAAGTTAAAGTAATAAACACACACTATAATAAAGAGTATGGAATGAATACAATGTGATGGTGCGTATACAGTACTTTATATTATATATTAGGCATAATGAGTACTAAATGTAAATCAAATTAACAAGCTATAATTTGCAATTGTCACTACACATAGGCAGACGTATAATATATATATTTGTGAAATCTTAAATATTTTTTGAAATGTACGGTCCGAAAACTTCAAATTGAGTATATGTAGAATTGTGCTAATATTTCATAATTTTTACGTTTATTTTAGGTTGTAATCAAAGGTAATTCTCCAAATCGTGATAGTCATCACACTATAACCTAATATATCTTTTTACAGGTAGATTCTACTACGATTTGTAGTTAAGTACTCCGGATTTACTTCATCGACCCCACTCACAGAGACAAATGCCTGACTAGCAGTAGCACTTTAAACAAAAAACTCTAAAAGTATAAATTATTTGATGTATCTTTCATTACATTCCAAACAATTGGAAATTTGTAGGTGGTAATTCAAGCCTTACGTTGAATCGTTGCTTTTATGTTTTCCCTTTTTGGAATATAAAATCGGACTGTCGATTTTGCATTGTATTTTGAAGATAACTTGTCGTTACGTCAATAATTTCTATGCAAAATAAAAAAAAAATGTAATACAAAATTTAAAGGACGTGGTATGCTTGCCAATGAGATAAAATGAGTTGTCCTTCTGAAAACCACGACTTTCCCTGATGCTATGACATAAATAACTGATAGCAATTATAATGATTATTTATATAGATATAGAAATATATGTCGAACTCAAAATAACGTTTACAATTGTGTTTGTTGCACATCTCTGACGGCAACCACTGGTACCATTCATGAAAATAAACTTTTATCTCTTGAAAAATTGTCTTCAAATAAGTACCCTTAGCTAGTCTTATTAATAAGAAACATAAATTGCATGTAATATGTCACAACCACACACTATTTCAATTTCTGTACGTGTTTCAAATCCCCTATGAAGACATGGTTCATCGCATTTGGTGGAATTCTTTTAGCACCAACCGATTCCCACAGCACTTAAAGTAAATTCTTTTTCCCATGAAACCATTTTTTTTTAGAGAAATTCCTGCTTATCCGTCTGCGAGTTTCTTTTTTTCAATCGACACATCTCCGAATCCTTGGAATATATTTGCAACGACAAACTGTATGAGCCTGCGGTAAGCTGTCGCCATATTTCTGGTATACCTATCTCCAAGTGTCTCTTTCACTGCCAATAAGAACGGTTCCGTCACCGACTGAAACATAATCAAAGTCATGACAACTAATGCAATCGCATGATTACTACTTGTATATTTCTAATCTGTAAACAACTAAAACATTGATTAAATGATTACAGTATTACAGAGAATACTATTATGAAAATCTAAATAGTATAACATGACTGCACAGAAAAGAAATGTTGATCGTGCGTGTGTAAATAAAGACAATACCTTGATATAATGAAACGACATCTAAGATACAGAGGAAACATATATAAATTGTCATCAACAGATGTCTTATTTTGTTTTCACAGTTTTAAAAAATCGATTTTTTTTAAACGTGGAAAGTTTTTAAATTCTTCATTTCTTAGGGATATCTATTGAAAACAAATAAAGTATTCTAAAAAAAGAGAAATCGTTTTTGTTATTTTATCTTTAAGTCCTTCCTAGATGTTTTTTTTGTCAAACTGTAAAAAGCGAATAATCGTATTAAAGATGCTAATCGGCTTGGCATGTTTGATGACAATATTTGGGAAAATACATTATTCTTATTGGGTATCACGAATATACTCATCTTTCGACAATCTTTTATCACCGTCTAGTAAATATTGAACATTATGTTGAGACCAGAATTTGAGTATATACGTAATTCATTTACTTTGGGTAGGGTAACTGAAAAGGCTATAGCATGTATATATTACTTTGCATACATGCACGCAATATCAAATATTGACGGGCGGCAACATATAACAGTGAGAAAACTGGAAAAATTATTTCCTTTCCGATAAGAACCCACCAATTTTGGCACACCATTTGCAATCATAAGTTTGTAAAAAGATGTTCTTGTAAATTCTAATACTGGAAACAATTAACAATAAAGGCGCATTAATTTTGTCATATAATATTTTCCCCTAAATGTATCAAATGTAAATAACAGCAAAGTATAGAAGATTTGTGTAATGCTAGTTAATAAAGCTGTTGTGCGAACAAATTCCTAACGTACTAACCTCTATTTTTTCTACTGAAGATAACCTTTGCTTATATTAAGACCAGAGAAGTTCAAGAAAAATTATCAAATCGAATGATATACAACGAAGATAACCACTTTTGAAATTAAGATACCAAGACAAAGTCAAAGGTTCTTTATTTGTATATGCACAATGAATACCAGTAAATCGAGAGGACAATACTCGAAACGTTATATAACTAATAATCGTTAAAAAAAAGGAAAGCGGTTAACAATGTTCATTAGCGTAGTTTCCTTTCGGATTTTTTTAATTCCGAACAGACATAACTTTAATTATAACATTTACGTAGAGACAATATTTTCAGATGACACTGGGCAAACAGATGTGCTCGTAAGTGGTTTAATCATAATATGCTTAGGACTAGCAGGAACATTCTGAAAATAAGTGTATGGAGAGAGCTATAACGTTAGATCTCAACGGTGACATTTTTTTCTGCGGTAAATAAACTTTTGACATTTAACTTTATAATAGCAGGAAGAGTTACTATTTTAACTACTTTTATATTCTGGACCTATTCTGGACCACCTGTTATCCCACTTATAAGACGGAGCTGAACTTGACAATACATATAATATTTTGGATTATATTAGATAAAGAATTCATGCTCATATTGAATAGGTGGCTAAATGTTCTCACCTCGAGCCACTTTTCTTTTCTAGGAAGTGCTTTTCTCTGAAAGGTAAATTGACGGCCAACATTCACAGATGTACAGATTATAATTTTTCAAAAGTATCTCTGATGTTCATTGTAATTACCGTAGTAATAGAATTAAAAAGAACGCGACTAGTTATCTGTTCTTAAAGGTCTAAAGACAAAATAAGTGTTTAGCTTCAAATTATGTTAGTGTCAATACAGAAAATACAATATATATATAGTAAAGGCATGCTTGTATTTCTCATCGAACGCATTTTAAACCACAATTTCTCTATTTACAAATGTTAAAAGAATCTGTGTATGTTAAAACTAAACAAGCATGTGTTGCAATGATTTAGTAACGTGTGCTTCCTGTTTAATTTAGTGAAGATAGAAAGATAATTCATACTGAAAAAATTATCATGTACAAAAAAATAAGCGATGGTATGTTAAAATAACAGCAAGTGTATTGTATTAGTTTGCTGTGAAAAAATATAAGCATGAGAAATACGTAGTGAATACATAATAACATTAATTTTTACTACTCACCAAAAAGAATTCCCGTCTAAAATCAGAAAACTTCCGATGTTGTTTCCCGATGTCGTAAAGTAAGTCTATAACATACTGCATGTCGTTTAGATTGTAAATGGTATCATCCAAAGTATTCATCACCATCAACACATGTTTGGCAAGACCCTTTGATTCTCTCATCTCAGCAATAGTTGAACAATTTTCAACCATAAAGAAAAACTTCTTTAAGTCTGCATGTGTTTCAAATATTCTAAAATATAAAAAATAACTGTTGTAGTTTTGCATGTTTAAAAAGCTGAAAGAAAATCGTCATTGCCTATTTTCTTACAATTTGCAAAACCGTTCTTACTTTACCTTGCGTTCGGCATGTCGGGATTATGAATAAATACATTGTATCCAATTTTAAAAATTAAAAGTAGGAATAAAGTAGAATTTAAAAATATGAAATGTACCATACACTAGTATTGGTAAGTCAATGTATATTGGTTATTAGTATTAACTACTCAATCAATTGGTGGAAATTTCTATGTAAACATTATAACTTCTTTCAAGCCAGATATTTTAAATGCCATAGTCAGTTTTTAATGCTGACCTAATAAACATGTTGATTCCTGTATATTCCATCTTCCTCGAGATTGCTTTCCATGACTGCTGAAGTTGGAATATTTGTCTTTCAGTTAGATCTAGCCTGCTAATTGCGTCTGTGAAAGTTATAGATGGTCTGGAATGAACACTCTTGCGTTGACGTCCTGCACATTTCGGCTGAGTACTATGTTTAACAGCTGCGATTGAGCAACCCATTTTGTACAAATGAAAAAAAATATAATGAAACGTGATATTCATTTTTATAAAGTAAACACCTTGAATTATGGAAAGAAGATTACATGAAATTAATATTTTTTAATTATCTTTTTAGACTTGAAAGAATTCTTATCTCTCCCTTCCAGGAAATTATATTTCTTCGACACGACAAAGGTTAATAATTTAAGATTGATACGACTTCTATCTTAGCTTTTTTGTTCACCTGGTATAAATCATATCAAATAGACACTTCTAACTGATGACCGATCATGTTTTGTAGGTTAAATAGATGTTTGAGAAGGAAAAAGAGCTTGTACGTATTGTCCTTGTAATTATAGTTAAAAATCGGAAAGTTGATAAAACCAGGTGGAATTTTAACATTAAAGGGGTAAATAATTGAATTGAAAGATTCATCAAATACTTTATTTAAATCCCCGAATTCATTACCACGTTATTCATGGCTGTTGTGAATATTTTTTTAACTTGTATATCTAATCTAAATTTTACGTGCTTTTGTTAAATTTTGAACTCAAGTTAAAATTCTTTTTTGCCGTTTTAATGATGTAAAATACTAATTTGGTCACCGACTTCGTTTTTACATTATACAGCATTCAGGTGAAAAAAAAACCACAAAACGTCGAAATAATTGTAAAGTCGTTGCGTTGTTGGCCGTAACAGTTGATTTTTTGACATTTTGTTCTATCAACTAGGTAACAGTTTGGTTAATACACCAAGTCGGTGACCCTATGATTATTTTATATCACTAAAACGGACATATGATGTATCAACAACATATAGTTTTTATGAATTCGTTTGAGAATCCTGAACAACTTATTATAATAAATCTTGCTGACTGGTGATGTCGCAGAATGACGAACTTATAGAAATCAACGTCGATCCGCATTGAATACATGTACTTGTAAGGTTTTAATGATTGAATCTTTTCAGGTTGACAATTAAAGGGGCATAAACTGTCAAATTCATGTTCACCGATTTGACTAAAATTCATATTTTATTTATATCATACTAAATGTATATCAAAATTATAAAAGGTCTAGAATAAACAATTTACAATGAATGGGTTCGATAATGTGTATCAGCATTTCTTGTGTATTTTAAAAGAGAGGCGAACAATACCAAAGGGACATTCAAACTCATAAGTCGAAAATAAACTGACAACGCCATAGCTAAAAAAGAAAAAGACAAACAGACAAACAGACAAACAATAGTACATAAAACACAACATAGAAAACTAAAGACTGAGCAACATGAACCTAGTCTAGACGCCATTTAATTAACCACCAAAGACTGCCGACGGCCATAAAACCCAGATATGAATATAAATATAGATATAAATAGATAGATAGCGAACATGTGTAATTGGATTTTTCTAGGTCTGTTTGATTTCATATTTTAGGTTAAAAAATATGTTAATCATCGTTTTTACCTATATAAGAATGAGTTTTTGTGGATCGAATCAGTCAATTAAATGGTTTACCCATGTTTCACTTTCAATGTTGAAATTCTTTTCCTTTTAATAGCTGAACACGCCTAGTTTTTGCGTAGCCCATCTCTAGCTAAGGGGTTTAATTGAAGGTCAAATGAATACGGATTCAATGAGGTCGTATTATTCACTCGCAAGTCAATAATTCATCAGTTATGTTTCGTAGCTTATTTTGACAAAATGGTACCAAACTGGCTGCTTAAAGCGAATTATTATTTCACTATTTCACTTTCATTAATGATTGAACAAACAAAAAATCATATTCTATTTTTTTTATATCTCGAAGCTAATGCCCCTTTAAGCTCGAAATTTATGTATCAACAACATATAGTTTTATGAATTCGTTTGAGAATCCCGAACAACTAATTATAATAAATCTAAATCTTGTTGACTAGTGATGTTGCAGAATGATTAACTTGAGAGAAATCATCGTCGATCCGTATTGAAGACATGTAATTGTAAGGTTTTAATATTTGAATCTTTTAAGGTTGATGATTAAGCTATGATTTCAAACGTAGGAGGGGAATATATATATATTGTATTTCACAAGACAATGCAAATATAGAATGCACACGAAGATGTGCAAATGACGTGAAAAAATAAAAGAAACTAGAGGCTCTCAAGAGCCTGTGTCGCTCACCTGATTCTACTTTGGTTTTGGAAATCATGTAAAAATAGATTAAAATCATAACAGATACCCTAATAATGAGTGAGGCCAAATTTGGTTTAATATTGGTCCTGTAATTTAATAAAAAATCCTGGTGGCCATCTTGAACAGTAAATCAGCAACAAAGTAGCAACACTTCATCAGCACCTCATAAGAAACATTTATGCCATGTTTTGGTTTCATTCCATTCAGTGCACCTCTAGAAGAAGCATTTGTATGTATTTCCCATAGGGTCTTATGTTAAAGGAAGTCCCCCCATTGGCGGCCATCATGGATGAAGGATCAGCTTCAAAGTAACAAAACTTAGTCAGCACCTCATGAGAAACATTCATGCCATGTTTGGTTTCAATCCATTCAGTATGTGGTTCTCTAAAAGAAGACATTTGTATGTATTGTCCATAGGGTCCTTTGTTAAACATTGTCCCCATCTGGTGGCCATCGTGGATGAAGGATCAGCTTCAAAGTAACAACACTTGGTCAGCACCTCAAAAGGAACATGCATGCCATGTTTGGTTTCATTCCATTCAATGGTTCTCTAAAAGAAAACATTTGTATGTATTTCTCATAGGGTCCTATGTTAAACTAAGTCCCCGCTGGCGGCCATCTTGGATTATAGATCGGCTTCAAAGTAACAACACTCGGTCAGCACCTCATAAGGAACATTCATGCCATGTTTGGTTTCATTGCATTCAGTGGTTCTCTAAAAGAAGACATTTGTATGTATTTCTCGTAGGCTCCTTTGTTAAACTAAGTCCCCGCTGGTGGCCATCTTGGATGATGGATCAGCTTCAAAGTAACAACACTAGGTCAGCACCTCATAAAGAACATTCGTGTCATGTTTGGTTTCATTCCATTCAGTGGTTCTCTAAAAGAAGACATTTGTATGTATTTCCCGTAGGGTCCTATGTTAAATTAAGTCCCCTGCTGGCGGCCATCTTGGATTATGGATCGGCTTCAAAGTAACAACACTCGGTCAGCACCTCATAAGAAACATTTATGTCATGTTTGATTTCATTCCATTCAGTGGTTCTCTAAAAGAAGACATTTGTATGAATTTCCCATAGGGTCCAATGTTAAACTAAGTCCCCTCCTGGCGGCCATCTTGGATTATGGATCGGCTTCATAGTAACAACACTTGGTCAGCACCTCATAAGGAACATTCATGCCATGTTTGGTTTCATTCCATTCAGTGGTTCTCTAAAAGAAGACATTTGTATGTATTTCCAATAGGGTCCTATGTAAAACTAAGTCCCCCCGCATGCGGCCATCTTGGATTATGGATCGGCTTCATAGTAACAACACTTGGTCAGCACCTCATAAGGAACATTCATGCCATGTTTGGTTTCATTCCATTCAGTGCACCTCTAGAAGAAGCATTTGTATGTATTTCCCATAGGGTCTTATGTTAAAGGAAGTCCCCCTATTGGCGGCCATCATGGATGAAGGATCAGCTTCAAAGTAACAAAACTTAGTCAGCACCTCATAAGAAACATTCATGCCATGTTTGGTTTCAATCCATTCAGTATGTGGTTCTCTAAAAGAAGACATTTGTATGTATTGTCCATAGGGTCCTTTGTTAAACATTGTCCCCATCTGGTGGCCATCGTGGATGAAGGATCAGCTTCAAAGTAACAACACTTGGTCAGCACCTCAAAAGGAACATGCATGCCATGTTTGGTTTCATTCCATTCAATGGTTCTCTAAAAGAAAACATTTGTATGTATTTCTCATAGGGTCCTATGTTAAACTAAGTCCCCGCTGGCGGCCATCTTGGATTTTAGATCGGCTTCAAAGTAACAACACTCGGTCAGCACCTCATAAGGAACATTCATGCCATGTTTGGTTTCATTGCATTCAGTGGTTCTCTAAAAGAAGACATTTGTATGTATTTCTCGTAGGCTCCTTTGTTAAACTAAGTCCCCGCTGGTGGCCATCTTGGATGATGGATCAGCTTCAAAGTAACAACACTAGGTCAGCACCTCATAAAGAACATTCGTGTCATGTTTGGTTTCATTCCATTCAGTGGTTCTCTAAAAGATGACATTTGTATGTATTTCCCATAGGGTCCTATGTAAAACTAAGTCCCCCCGCTTGCGGCCATCTTGGATTATGGATCGGCTTCATAGTAACAACACTTGGTCAGCACCTCAAAAGGAACATTCATGCCATGTTTGGTTTCATTCCATTCAGTGGTTCTCTAAAAGAAGACATTTGTATGTATTTCTCATAGGGTCCCATGTTAAACTAAGTCCCCTGCTGGCGGCCATCTTGGATTATGGATCGGCATCAAAGTAACAACACTCGGTCAGCACCTCATAAGAAACATTTATGTCATGTTTGATTTCATTCCATTCAGTGGTTCTCTAAAAGAAGACATTTGTATGAATTTCCCATAGGGTCCAATGTTAAACTAAGTCCCCTCCTGGCGGCCATCTTGGATTATGGATCGGCTTCATAGTAACAACACTTGGTCAGCACCTCATAAGGAACATTCATGCCATGTTTGGTTTCATTCCATTCAGTGGTTCTCTAAAAGAAGACATTTGTATGTATTTCCCATAGGGTGGCCTTTGTTAGTCTTGTATCATTTTTAATTTTAGTTTCTTGTGTATAATTTGGAGTTTAGTATGACGTCCATTATCACTGAACTAGTATACATATTTGTTTAGGGGCCAGCTGAAGGACGCCTCCGGGTGCGGGAGTTTCTCGCTGCATTGAAGACCCATTGGTGGCCTTCGGCTGTTGTCTGCTCTATGGTCGGGTTGTTGTCTCTTTGACACATTCCCCATTTCCATTCTCAATTTTATCCTATGTTAAACTAAGTCCCCC